CGTGACTCCGCCCGTCAACAGTCAACGGTGAATGCTCCGACGACTTCCCAAGCGCCAACCAATGTTTCTGTCCATTCGGAGGAGCCGATTGTTATCTCATCCGGCACACCAACGCAAAACAACAGCACGGGACAGCGCTCAGGCGCAGCCAGTGACGGCGCAGCCCAACCGATGCCCGGCATGGGAGGGAACAGGAATGCATCAAGCCCACGGGAGCCCCGAGAAGCCCGTCGGCACGTGGAGTTTGCGACGACAAGTGGAGAAATCGCCATGATGGCCCCAATGCCACTCAAGCCGCAACGCCCGCCCTGCTTCGACCCAAGCCAACGCGGTGGCCCGACAGTTCAATCGTGGGTCTTCACGATGAATGTGTTTTTCGACGCCAACTACGTCGAGTCGGACGCCGCCAAGATTCGGTATGCGGTTTCACTACTCAGGGGCCCCGCCATGGACTGGTGGCGAGTCATCGTGACGTCGCCACGCGCCTACGAGCCACCGTCGCACGAGGAAGGGCCCTCGGGTCCAGCTGTCACCTGGAGTTCGTTCTGCGAAACAGCCCAATACAGCACGTGGGATGCGTGGTGCGCAGGACTTCGGGCGCGCTTCGAGCCGATTGCGGCTTCGATTTCGGCGCGTCAGAAACTACGCACTTGGCGCCAGCTCGGGTCGGTTCAAGACTACACCAGCGGTTTTCTCGCACTTTGCGAACAGGTCGGCTACATGCACGAAGCGGAGCGGGTGGACCGTTACGTCGGGGGACTGAAGCCGGACATATCGCACGAGATAATGCTACGCAGGCTATCGAATTTCAACGAAATCCTCGCGCTCGCCGAGAAAATCGATATCCTACGCCGACCGAGACCGGGGTCCTATTTCGGACATCGCCCTCGGGGACCGATCGAGCACGCCACCGTACATGCCGTCGCAACGAATGCAGCTGCCACGCCATTTAGAGGGCGCTGCTTTGCTTGCAACCGGTTGGGCCATCGCAAGAGCGAATGTCCAGAAGAGCTGAGGCGTCGAGGAGCAGAGCAGGGGAGGGAGTCTCAGAGGCAGGGAAACGCCAGCAGTCAGTAGAAATCGGGCCAACTACTGACGAGACTGCCTGCTCGCCCAACCACACCGACCCTCACCGAGTCACAGTACCGATTCACGCCATCGATCGGGCTCGGATGAATAAGGAGGGTACAGCGACGGATTGCCCAGTACTGATCTACGGGAAAATACAGGGAGCAGCAGTGAAGATCTTTATTGACGGAGGAGCAAGTCATAGCTTAGTTAATACCGCGACCGCACGAAAATTACAGTTGATACTTACCCGATGCTTACCTGAGATAGATGCACGCTTAGTCGACGGCACGCCACTGGCCATAAGGGAAAAGGTGGAGCGAGTAAAAGTCCGCTGCGGGGGGAACTTCGGATTTACACAGGAAATGCTCGCAACGACACTGGATGGGCACGACATTTTATTGGGACGTGATTGGCTGCGACGGTACAACCCATGGATTGACTGGACGACGGGGAGCTGCACAGTGCGAAGTAGCGGTAACTGGGTCGTTCTACCTCGCTGGCGGTCACCCGAATCTTCGACAGTCCAGGTCAACGCCGTCACGATGAAACGGGCTGTCGCTGCGGGAGCTGACGTGTACGCAGTAGATATCGCAATCGTAGAAAAAGAGGAGCAGCAAAGTGATTTCGAGAAACTGCTAGCAGCCGTACCGAACGAATTACAGACACTACTGAAACGGTTCCAGGGGATATTTCCGGATGATCTACCACAGGGACTGCCACCTCAGCGGGCGCACGACCATAGGATAGTGTTAGAACCGGGGGCACAGCCAACAGTACAGCGGCAATTTCGACTGACACAACCCGAACTCGACGAGTTAAGGAAGCAGTTAGATTACCTATTAGAGAAGCAGTTTATTCGACCAAGCTCGTCACCGTTCGCCGCACCGATACTGTTCACACCGAAAAAAGACGGAGGTTTTCGCATGTGCATAGACTACCGAGCGCTTAACAGGGTTACAATCAAATCGCGATACCCCATCCCCCGCGCTGACGAACTGATTGACCAACTACGAACAGCGCGAGTTTTTTCGAAAATAGATTTACGGGGAGGTTACCATCAGATTCGGGTCGAACCATCGGACTGCGCCAAAACAGCGTTTAGGACTAGGTACGGGTCATTCGAGTATACAGTGATGCCTTTCGGGCTGACAAACGCGCCTGCAACTTTTCAGATGACCATGAACGAGGCGTTTCGACCACTTTTAGATAAATGCGTGATAGTTTACCTGGACGATATTCTAGTTTATAGCCGGGATAAGCAGCAGCACTTAGTCGATCTTGAAGCGGTTTTTCAGGTCTTAGAGAAACATCGCCTACTCACCAAGGGTTCCAAGTGCGAGTTTTTTAAGGATAGGCTAGAGTTTTTAGGTCACGTTATTTCGGAGGCTGGGGTTGAGATTGACCCAAAGAAGCTGGATACAGTAAAAGCGTGGCGCCCTCCGACGAACATCACGGAACTACAGAGTTTTTTGGGTTTTGTTAATTACGTTCGACGGTTCGTGCCCGGCATGGCACGTTTAACAGCCCCGCTCACTGATTTACTACGTAAGGGGGTCGTTTTTACGTGGGGGGAGAAAGAGCATGCTGCCTTCTCTGCCCTGAAAAACGTTCTCTGCTCACCACCCGTTCTACGCATCGCCGACCCCCACCGACCCTTTGAAGTGGTTACCGACGCAAGTGACATCGCCATCGGAGCTGTACTGTTACAGGACTTCGGCGACGGCCTCCAACCCATCGCCTACGAATCACGCAAACTACATCCGCCTGAGCGAAATTACCCGATACACGACCGCGAAATGCTCGCGATCGTGCACGCATTCAAAGTGTGGCGCTGCTACTTGACCGGCGCAGACGTGACAGTACGAACAGACCACAAATCTCTACAGTACCTCCGCGCACAGCCTCACCTCAACCCACGACAGATTCGATGGCTCGATTTCCTCGAGTCGAATTTTCACTACACGGTCACCTACAAAAAAGGAGCATCAAATATCGCCGACGCACTGACTCGCCCTACTGCCCAGATTCACGCGATATTACTCGCCCAGACCAGTCCACTGCTGACAGGCCTATTTACCCACGGATATCAAACAGACCCGTTCTTTACAGGAGGCAACTCACAGCAATTCGCAACGGCAAAAGGAGTCTATTACGTAAAAACTGGAACCGACCGCATCTGGGTACCGGGGTACACGCTACTACGGGAACTACTGTTACAGGAAGCACACGAGGGAGTTACCTCGGGACATTTCGGGGTAGAAAAAACACGGCAGCAACTGCAGCGATACTACTACTGGCCGGAAATGTTGACCGATGTGCAACGACACGTGGCATCGTGTCCCACTTGCCAGCTCATGAAGTCAAGCAGGAAGCGGCCGGCGGGACAATTACAACCCATCCCGCCTCCAGAGCGTGCTTGGCAGCAGGTGACAATGGACTTCGTCACGGGGTTACCAGCTGGGGCGAGTGGGAATGATGCGATCTTGGTCGTCGTCGATCGACTCACGAAGATGGCACATTTCGCAGCATGCAGGAAATCAATCACAGCCGAAGAAACCGCCCGACTCTTCATCACCACCGTCGTTCGACTGCACGGGATACCCGCATCGATCATCAGCGACAGGGACACGAAGTTTACCAGCAACTTCTGGCGGAACCTGTGGCAGCAGTTCGGCACACGACTTCAATTCAGTTCATCCTATCACCCTGAAACCGACGGACAGACGGAACGGACAAACCAAACCATGGAGCAGCTGATTCGAGCCACGTGCGACGATCCAAACACGTGGGAACAGCAGCTGCCGCTCATCGAGTTCGCGTACAACAACGCACCATCAGCCACGACGCAACAGTCGCCGTTTTACTTGAATTACGGACAAGACCCCACAGTACCCATGACACCGAATCCCGACAACCCCGTCCCACGAGCACAACAATTCGCCGAGATTTTGCAAGCAGCACGGACCAGGGCAGCAGACGCAATTAAAAAAGCCAACATCATCGCTAAGCGCAACGCCGATCGCCACCGCCGACCTGTCACTTACCAGCCAGACGACCTGGTACTACTCGATACCCAGAACCTCCGCCTGCCCATCACTCCAAAACTTCGCCCCCGATATTGTGGGCCATTTCGCATCAGCCACATGATAACACCCGTCACCGCCCACCTCCTCCTCCCCGCTGACTGGTACGTCAGCCCGTCATTCCACGTCAGTCTACTTCGCCCTTACATCCCATCCACAAGCCAACTGCCACGAAATCGCCCAGCCAGCATGACACGTCCCCCAACCGAACCACTCATCACCCCCGAAAAAATCCTCAGCCACCGAGTCCGCGACCCTCGGGGAGCCCGACGGATCGAATTCCTAATCCGCTGGAAGGACCGAACGCCCACAGAAGACAACTGGGTCCCCCTGGATAAAATTGAGAACCACCCTGTCTTCACCGAGTATCTGCGAAGCCGAAATTTCCGCGACGTCCATGCGCTCTCGTAAGAGGGGCCTCCTTGGGGAGGGGGGTAGTGTAAGGAAATTCCCTTTTCCTTACCTCGCGTCCCTGCTCAACGCGTACATCACCTTAGCACCTCAGTCAGCACCGTTACCACTCGCGACCATCGCATCATTCATCATCCCGCCCTTTTCGCACATCGCATCCCGACCTCACGGCTCGGCTGGTAACCCGCGCTCCGGGCCTACGCTTCCACATTTTCCCAACCTCAGTCCCAGGCTCGTCGCGCGACAACCACAGTCCATTACCGTTACCACTATTGTTTTCGCTATATAATCCTTCGCTCATGCCTTCGCTCATTGTACTCTTGCTTCGATAGTGCAATTCTCGTTCGTTCCCTCAATTGCACTCGTAACAGGGTAGCACAATCCCTGGATTGAAACAGCGGATGAACCAATTCCCAACTATATGTTCCGTATGAGCTAAGGGCGGGCGGCAAACGGCTTCGAAAGAGCACCAGCGCCATCCAAAGCGAACCCAACTGTACCGCGGAGAGTTCCTCTGACCGCACCGCGGATGGAGTCAGCCTCGGGCGTCAGAAGCTCCGGCGGGATGAGCAGTGTGCTCGTGCCCTGGATCGTAAAGTCCGTACCAACCCACAGGTTCGGCACCGCCAGCACGCTCGGTAGTTTCGCCGCGCCTTTGAATATAACGGTCGGCCGGCCCTTGGGGCCGCGCTTCGTGACCATGTTTCCCTCGAGAGTGTCTAGCTCCGTTCCGGCCGGCATGTCGGTGAGATTGTGGAAGAGGTAGCGCGTCGCTATTGTGTTGTAAGACAGAATTGTTGTTTGCTCGTCCTTGGTGTAGTTGCGAAGCAGGGCGATATTGGCGGGCAGCAGAATGGTCAGGTCGGTCAGCGGAATGAGAGATTTCACTGGTAGGAAGTAATTGGGGATTGGACGGCGAGAGTAATTACGTAGTTTAGCATTAGGCGGTTTAGTATTAGATATAATATTCGACGGTTTTCACCATGGTAACAGAGACTAATAGGGAATTCCGACGAGGGTGGCTCGGCCGGAGTCCCGATTCGTGTACAGGAGTGAGGTTCTGACTCAGAACCTCTCGGAGAGGTTCTGTGAGGTTGAGTGAGGCTGGCAAAACGTACAATAATCGTCGATGAATTTGTGGATTGCCTTGTATTCCGGTCGCTTCCCGATGAAGTCAATGGCTCGCCCCACTTCTCCAGGTTTGAGTGCTGAGACGTGGCTGACGTGGCATACCGCGACTACGGCTAGCAGCAGCACGGCGAAGCGATGCATCGCAGCCATTGTCCAAAGAGAGGTGACAGAGAACTGAGATTTAGCAAGTGCGACTTTCAAGCTTTCGTAAACAGAGGGGGAATAGCGTAAGAAACAGAACCTCTGGAAACTGAGAATAAGAGAATATTTGATGGAGCTGAGGAGAAATGGGAAGACGGATTAATGGACGTCTGGTGCTGTGCGAAAATCGCGCTAGGAAGGTGCTCGAAGCTGGAGAGGCTGAATATGACGGATTGTATTCAGGTGGATGGATTGAACTGGATGAATTGAGCTCGAATGTGCAATTTCTTCGAATTTGAAGCAGCAGGATATGCCCAAGACGCGCTTTCGCCAATCCAGGGAAACTTCGCGAAAGTCACGAGTCTCGCAGCCCACCGCCACCGCCACCGCGGGAATTCCGCTGTCGCAGGGAGGGGCGAGGGTGCGTGCTGGGTGGTGGGGAAGGCAGTGGTTCGTTTCGTCGAGCGACTCGTTGTGGGATTGTCGCTTGCTGGATGGAATTCCGACGCTGCGGTGGCTGGCGCTGCAGGACATCAGTGGCGTAGGAGTGCAATTGAACGAAACACTTTACAAGCCATGAGCAAAAACTTTCTAAAGAAATATGCAATTGGGTCTTTGTTAGCTAATGTAAGGATTTTTCTCGACATTCCTTACTGCAACCGTCATCATCGCTTACAGCAGCAGCCGTTGTTCGCCTATTACTGCTAACGGGGCTTTGCGAACTTCGCGCGCACTGTTCCACCAAACCTGGCACTGCTGGAGAAGCTGAGTCGGCCTACGCTTCGGGACTAGCCCGAACCTCGCGCCAGCGTAGCACTAGCTACCTCGTGTGCACCGCATTACCGTTTGCGTTTTCGCCTATAAGTATTCGCTCATGCCTTCGCTCATACTTTATACTCTTTGAACACTCTAGTGCAATCCTCGCTATCGTAATACATCGGATAGAAGCGCACCTGCACTTATAATAAAACATTGTTTTTTGGGGGGGTGCGCTCATAATTGAGTCAGATTTATAAGCGCATGCGCTTGTATAAAGGGAAAAATGAAAAACCATTTTGAACACACCATTGTGAAGCTCTCAATAAGGCGAATTCAACCGACCATGCACAAAGTGGGATTGTGCATGGTTTTCAGGCAGAAACCGCAGCGGTTCGGTTTCCCACCGTACAATGTTGTATGGAAACATCGAATGTGACAGCCGTGACGAGGATGTTGTCGTGCGGCCCAATCAGAGCCGCATGCGCTGCGTGGCATGTGCATTCGGGCAGAACCATCTCGAAGGTTCGGCAAGATTCCCTGCCAGCGCAACGTAGATGCTGCCACGCAGGCGCCTCTACGAGAGTGGGCGGGGGTTTCCTGCCTGTCATCGACGAGGAACCCAAGCCGCCACGCTGCAGGGGTCCCCGTCGTTGCCCATTTCTTCACCCTCGTCTCTAATTTTTTCATTCACTTTCCTGTCTAGCCCGCCTGGCAGGCGAAGCCATGGCGGAATTTAGTGGGACTCACATCCTCTTCAAGAAGAAACCACGCCGCACATGGCGACTTACCGAGGACGGGTGGTATACCAGTGAGCCACCAGCGCCTCCAGTGCCACCGGATCCCCCTGCACCCCCTGCTCCTCCTGCTCCCCCTGCACCCCCTGCTCCACCCGCTCCTCCCGCACCTCCCGCTCCTCCGAATCCGCCTGCTTTTGCTACGGCAGGTGCTCACCAACGGCCCGTGCTCCAACTGTATTTACCAGCCACGTTCGACGAATGGTTGGCTAAAGCGGACACACCCAAGGCCCGCGATGCACGCATCCAAGCTCCAGCGACTGCACCACGGTGGGGACAACCAGAAGCCTGCGCGTGGGATGAGTCGGCTGTGGGCGCCGACGATGATGTGGCTACCGACAAACATGACAACGGCGCCGGCGAAGCTGGAGGCGACGGTGAAGCTGGTGGCGACGGTGCAGCGGGCGACGAGGAAGACGTGTTCCCCGACCGTGACGAGGACGAGGACGGTGTGGAGTCCTGGTGGCGCGACGCACCACGCGCGAAGATGCCGGTACCGACGTATCCGCCCCTTAACAAAAAACGCCCCCACCCGTCTACCGAGAATCGAGATGTTCGCCCCCCCTCGAGCGGTGGAACCTCATCGTGCGTATGAAAACAAAGGTGGCGCAGAAAACACAGGAGTGTAAGTGGGTCGTTTACTGCTGATTTTGGTTTATCCCGATTACGCTTAGTTTTTTTTTCGCATGTCTCCTGTGCGTCATACTAATTTGGTTTACTATATGTACCTTTCTCCCTGTTCCGCAGACGTGGCTGAGCAGTGCAAGGATTTTTGGCAGTACGTACGTGACGTCCGGAATGAATACGACATTGACAACCGCTACATCATCAACGCCGACCAGACACCGCTGTGGTTGGAGATGCCGGCGACGACCACCGTGGAGCAGACGGGCGTGAGGTCGGTGCCCATTCGCAGCGGTGGGTACCAGAAGGAGAGAGTGACCGTCATGCTTGCGTGCACGGCGACGGGCGAGAAGCTGAAGCCGTGGGTGTTTTTCAAGCGCAAGACACTCCCCAAGGGTGACTTCCGGAACGGTAAGTGATCGTCGCGCGTGTTTATTCCCGTTACTACCTGAGTCGTCAACCGTTCTTTTTCGTTGCGTGCAGATGTTGTGGTCGGCTGCCAAGCGAACGGGTGGATGGAGGCCGCACGCGTCATCGAGTGGCTCAACACGGGCGTGGTGCCGTTCCTGAAGCCGAAATTCGGCCTGCAGAGTCGTAGCGCCATGCTGGTGCTCGACTCGTATCGCGGTCACCTGACACTAGAAGTCAAGGCGAGATTCGCGGCGCTCAACATCGTGCCTGCTATCATTCCGGCGGGTTGCACGGCAGACCTGCAACCCCTCAATGTGTCGATCAACAAGAGCTTCAAAGCAAGCATTCGTCAGCAGTACCAGAATTGGTTTGAGGAGGACGGCATGAACATCCTGACCCCGGCAGGTGAGTGACGGCATGTGCTCCCGTCTGCAAATCTTGAGCTTGAATGCATGTTTACTTGTCTCATGTTTTCCCCGCCCCACTCCGTGTGATGCAGGGAACATCAAGAAACCACCTCCGGAGGTGGTGCTCAAGTGGATTTCACGGGCCTGGAAGGCGGTGCCCGCCGACCTCATCAAGAAAGCCTTCCTCACTTGCGCCATCAGCAATGTCAAGTGATAATATTGTGTAGGCTATAGTGGGGTAGCCCATATGGGGTACACATTTCTAAGGTTGCATATTTGTATCACTTCCATTCCTTAGTCCACCCATTCTCGTTCAACTCTTCTCATGGTATCGAGCAGGTTCCCCAGTGGGAACTGTGCCTAGGGCCCACCACATAAATTTTTTTTTTTCCTGCCCGAAGCGCGCTCCTCCCGAGTCGCGCCTCGGGCTCTTACCTCGTCGAGCCGCCCTAGCGGCCCCTACGCCCTAGCGGCCCTCGCTCCCCTAGCGGCCCCGCCGCCTGTTCGCTTCACGGCCCCGCCGCCCTACGCCTGCGGCCCCGCCGCCCTATGCTTGCGGCCCCGCCGCCCTACTTCACGGGCCCCGCCGCCCGTCTGCTGCGGCCCCGCCGCCCGTCTGCTGCGGCCCCGCCGCCCTACGCCTGCGGCCCCGCCGCCCTACTTCACAGGCCCCGCCGCCCTATTTCAGCGGCCCCGGAACCCCACTTCGCGGCCCCGCCGCCCTACTTCAGCGGCCCTGCCGCCCGTCTACTGCGGCCCCGCCGCCCTACGCCTACGGCCCAGCCGCCCTACTTCACGGGCCCCGCCGCCCTACTTCAGCGGCCCCGCCGCCCCACTTTGCGGCCCCGCCGCCCTACTTCAGCGGGCCCCGCCGCCCTACTTCATCGGCTCTGCCGCCCGTCTGCTGCGGCCCCGCCGCCCTACGCCTGCGGCCCCGCCGCCCTACTTCACAGGCCCCGTCGCCCTACTTCAGCGGCCCCGCCGCCCCACTTCGCGGCCTCGCCGCCCTACTTCACGGGCCCCGCCGCCCTACTTCAACGGGCCCCGCCGCCCTATTTCTGCGGCCCCGCCGCCCTACTTCCACGGGCCCCGCCGCCATACTTCGGCGGCCCCGCCGCCCTACTTCAACGGGCCCCGCCGTCTGTCTGCCGCGGCCCCGCCGCTCTCCACTCCTACCGCGCTGCGCGAGCCGCCGACCGCCGCGCCGCCCTGCAGCAGCACGCCCGAGCTGCTGACCGCCGCGCCGCCCTGCAGCAGCACATCCGAGCCGCCCAGTACCAGAGGAGCCGAGCCGCCCTGCCGCCGAGCCGCGCTGCAGCCGAGCCACCCGGCCGCCCACCAGCCGAGCCGCCGTGCAGCCGAACCGCCCAGCAGCCGAACCGCCGAGCCGCCCTAGCAGCCGAGCCGCCCTACCGCCGAGCCGCCCTAGCAGCCCTCTCCGGTGAGCACAGCCCCTCTGTCACTGCGTGCCCTTCCCCTACTGCTTGCACTGCTGGTCTACCGTTGTCATGGCTACCCCTAGTGTCCTCGCTTTTGACGCTGAAGGCCGAGCCATTGACTTTGAGATCTGGGTCGACGACCTGCAGCTATTCTTATGGTGCGATAGGGCGGACGGGCTTTCTCTCTTTGACCTCACCTCTGGCGCCTCTCCTGCACCTGCTGCTGATGCTGACCCCACTGTTCGCTCTCAGTGGGCCACCCGCGATGCTGCTGCACATCTTGGTGTGCGTCGCCACCTGCCTACCACTGAGCGCGCGCACTTTAGTCAGTACAAGAGTGCTCAGACCTTGTACGACGCTGTAGTTGCGCGCTACTCTTCCCCTGCCACTGCTGCACTGAGCCGCCTCATGCTACCGTACCTCTTCCGTGACCTTGCTGCCTTTCCCATAGTCGCTGACCTCATTACGCACCTCCGCACTAGTGACACTCGCTACCGCGCCGCGCTTCCTGCTGGGTTCTGCGCCAAGAACCTCCCCCCCATGTACATCACTCTCTATTACATAGTCACCCGGCT